AGAGGTTGGTCCCATAAAAGATATTACTAGAGCCCTGCAAATCTGCAGGTTTCTGCCCGATAGCGGCAGGCCGTATTTTGCAGCTTGGATACGGATACCAATTTTGTAGCGCGCAGTACTCAGGATATTACCCTGCCCGCCTTGTCTGTCTTGTAAATGGCAGTTGCTCCCTCTCAGTTAAATTTTGCCAACTCTGTCTCCTCCAGTGTGGTTTCAGTCCAGGCCAGACTAAGTCCAAACCATCTAGCGCTTGTCTGAGCCTCAGGTTCCTCCGGCCAGCACAGCTTGTGTGTTTGATTGCTGAGGCTGGAGCGAGGGAGGACATGCTGAACAAGACGGGTAACGACACGGTCGAATTAAGATACGCAACTCCAGGGATGTTAATTACGGAGCTGGAGTCGATGCACCTTCATTCGACCTCCACAGCGGGAGGTCGACGGGAGCAACCGCTCCCATTAGCTTCTCTTATGCCTCACGAAGGATGGGGCCACACTCTGAGTTTGATTTAGCGGGTCTTCACTAGACCCACTAAATTGAACTCTGGAAGCTCGATCGCAGCAGTGTGGTTCTTCCAAGTAGTGAAGACGTGGCCTCAGGGTTTGAGCTAGCAGGGTTCCCTCTGGTCTTTGGGAAAACGGGCTTTGGATTCTTCAGGAGCTGAAGATGCTAGAGCCCCAAATCCAAGCACTGGCTGGAAACCTGCCCTCCGGCCTGTCAGCCTCAACTGTTTGGAACTGGGCAGGACTGGGTGCTGCTTGTGCTGGGCTGGTTCCTTGGTTTCGGTCTCCTAGGCAATATTTTGCCTCCCCCTGGCCTGTTGGAGTCGGAGGCCTGGGGCTGCGCTCGAACACGCTCAGCAGTTGTTCTGCAAGTCGCTGACCTATTTTCCTGGCACAATTGAGTGTTTGTGAGCAGGGAAAGGCGGGGAAGGGGAAGCAGGCTGGAGCATTGAGTTACTTTTTATCGGTCTGCGGGGCACGACATTAAAGCGATCAACAGCCCCAGGGGAAAAGGGAGCTGAGGGCACCGGTGCCTGGGGTAGCCGAGACCTGGTTCGGGTCATCGATAAAAGCAAAGAACTCAGCCAAGTTTCGTGCTCCCTTCAGGCCAAGAATTGTTGTTGTCGTTAACTAGCTCTCTGCTTCCTCCCTGTGCTAGTAACACGTCTGGCCGTGTCCTGGCTCAGGAGGCGGGGACAGAATGAAACTGAACCGGGACAGTTCCCCCGTTGGCTCTGCAGAGCCCTGGGTGTGTAACGGATCCAGATCGCAGCTTCTGCGTGCAGGCAGCTGGTTGCATTCGGATAATGGTTTGGACGCCCTTCCACCATCTGTGCTGTCGCGTCTCGGTTTCCTTTTTTATTGTACTGCAAGCAACTTTGCGAGCAAGAAGTAGCTATTCCGAGGAAAATTCCATTGTGCTATTTTTAGAGGTAACTTGGCTTCTTGCAGTCACTTATTTTCCCTCCTTCCCCTGCCTAGAGGCGACAGAGGAATGTTGCTGGAAGCTGAAGGCCTCCCCTTCCACCATCTGTGCTGTCGCGTCTCGGTTTCCTTTTTTATTGTACTGCAAGCAACTTTGCGAGCAAGAAGTAGCTATTCCGAGGAAAATTCCATTGTGCTATTTTTAGAGGTAACTTGGCTTCTTGCAGTCACTTATTTTCCCTCCTTCCCCTGCCTAGAGGCGACAGAGGAATGTTGCTGGAAGCTGAAGGCCTCCCTGGGCGAAAATGGGGGGGGTGTCAGTGAAGGTTGGGGGACAGGGCCGGGGAAGCTGTGTGCGTGGAGTTATGAGTGTGTCCCGGTGTTGAATGCCTCTGGCACCCCTGCTGGCTCTTCCCAGCCTGTCTGGTGTAAATTCACTGTGTCCCGGTGGAAAATGGGGTACATTGTGGGGTACATTGGCTGCCCGGGGCCTGGAGCTCTGTTCCAAACGGCCGCTCGCCAGCACGCCGCTCTGCGCACTCATGGCAACGAATTCATTCCGGCCCCGGCTGCTGCAGATGGGTAGCTCAATCCCGATGGGAGGGCAGCAGATCTTAGAACCTGTGCCGGTGGTTTCTGGGACTGCCGTAGGGTAACGTGTGGGGGGGATGGAGGAGCGGCGGGGACGGGTTGGCTTCTTCCCGGTACCCAGGAGGTGTGGCGGAGGGCGGCAGGGGCATCAGACTTGCAATCCTGGGTCACACCAGCGGCTTGTCTCTGCCCCTCTCCCGCGGTGGCCAGTCCCCGTGCCAGAGGAAGGTGCGTGAAGCCCGCAGTGGGCAACGTTGCACGAACGTGTCCACGAGGGGATAGCAAATGTCGCACGAGTCGCTTGCTAGTCGGGCTGTGGTTCTGAGTAGGAGACACAAGCCAAGCCGGGGCCCGGGTGTTTCCGGGTGGGAATCGTCGTCCAAATGTGACAGTGTTCTATGTGCACTCCTGCCCGGGTCCTGCGTGTTCTGTGTCCGTACTGCGCCCAGCGCCGTGGAGTTATGTGCCCGTGGTGCTCACGCCTTCAGCGTACTAACCTGTGCTTCACGGGCGACTCCTTTACCCTTCATGCACCAAACAGGCCTGGGCTGTTATCAAGTGCAGTGTTGAAAACCAGGAGGGAGGCTGCCACCCAAAAGCGCGTGCTCCGGCCGAAGCCTGGGAGACTGCTGAGACAGGGAGGGCTGGGAAGGAGACCAACGTTAAGCTGGTGGCTGAGCCGTGCTGCCGGGGTTCGAAGTTGCAGGTTGGGGTGAGCGGCAGAAAGTCTCCCAAAGAACCAATTGTTGGAGCCCCTGGAAAATCATTTCCTATGCGAGCTGTGAAGATGGGAGATGTTGCCCCCCCCACTTCCCAATTCTGCTTCTCCTCCCTCTCCATGTTGCAAACTTGCTGTCCCTTCCGGGACAAGGTGTAACCCAACCCCTCCATCTGCCCCCCGGGACATTCCTGCCTGCGTCCCCAGACAATGGAGGGGGGAGGGAGTGCTGTCCTAGAACAAATGGCCAGCGAATGTAGCACCTGCCTTTGTCACTGTGGTTTCTAGAGGCGCTGCTGGAGCCGTTTTGGCTCCTCGAGTTCCTGGACAAACAGCTGTTGGGGGGTGAAAGTGGCAACTGGCTTCCGGGGTTTGTTCCATTTGACACGACACTGATCAAGGGTGTGTGTGCAGCTGGGCGGTGGGGTGAGCCGGGCACGCAGGTCCCATCCCTGCTGGGGCTGAGGCTGCCAGGAGGACAGCCGTTGTGAATTCTTCCCGTGTGCTGAGGCTTTGTCCCTGGCTCTCCCTGTGTTGGTCAAATTGGTACCGGGGGGAACTGATTTTCCCTGACCAGAAGCAAGGGGCTTAAATTGCAGAGAGGGAGGTGTAGGTTGGACACTAGGAAAAATTTCTTACCTGCCAGGGTGGTTCAGCACGGGAATAAATTGCCTAGGGGGGTTGTGGAATCTCCATCGCTGGAGATATTTAAGAGCAAGTTGGACAGACGCCTGTCAGGGATGTCCGAGTACCCTTGGGGATACTTGAGAGAAGTTTTGGGGGTACGTCAACACAACTGAAATTTGGAGAAAACTGAATGTGTGTGTGAAGTTTTACAGCGCTTTATTATTTTTGTACTTTTTTACACCCAAAAATGTCATCGCCTGCCTGGCTACGATGAAGTTGTTTAAACAAATGTGTTTCTGTGGTAGAAAAAAATCTTGTGTCTGGAAACTGTAGGTACTGGGGGTACATCCAATGTTTGCTTTTGAAAAAGGGGTACTTGATAGAAAAGGGTTGAGAAACACTGATCTAGATGGTGCTTGGTCCTGCCGTGAGGGCAGGGGACTGGACTTGATGACCTCTTGAAGTTCCTTCCAGTTCTAGTGTTCTGTGATTCTATGATTCAGCCTGAACAACTCAGTGCATGATGCTCACTGCTCACTGTGAAATATACCACCAGTGCCTGTGAGGGAGAGGAAGCCTCTGGGCTGGCTACGAGGCTCGGTGTTTAGATCCCACAAGGCTCGGTCCTGTTGGCTCTGACTAGCCTCCCACCCTGCAGTGCATGCCGTACTGACCTGCCTGGTTTGTAGAGACAAGGGGGAGGGGATGGCTGCCCTGGATTTAAGAGTCATTGGGGCTGATGCTTCTGTGTACCCTGCGTTAATACTAGCTCCCTAGGCCAGTGATCCCTGTAAGCTAAGTACTTGGGCAGCCATCCAGGAGAGAGTCAAATGCTGCCCAGCTGATTAGCAAAGCGCCCGCAGCTGCTCCAAAGTTGGTAGCATGTGTGTCTGTAGGTGGTGCACATTGATTCTTTCATTGGTGCACATAATAAAATTTATTCTGCACACAGATGGACAGAGTTCGAGGGAACACTGCCCTAGACCCTTTTCACCCAAGCCAGCCCTGTGATCATCTTGGTTTTTGTTACAAACTAGGATGGCGCAGTCAGGCGTGGGGGCTTCTGCTCTAGAGTGTGTGGAGTTTCACAATTCTAAGGCTGGGGGGCGCATGGGGATCCGTGACCGCTAGGACGGCACAAGCCAGAGACGGTCCCCAAAACAATTCCCAAAGTAGAGTTTTAGGGAGGCCATCCAGTCGTGCTTCCGAAATTGCGACTCCACCGTGACCCTTGGGAAATGGTCCCAATCGTGAATTGCTCTCCACGAACCACATTTCAGGACAGATGTGGAGAAATTGGAGAAGGTCCAGAGAAGGTCAACGAAAGTGTTTAAAGGTTTAGAGAACATGAGCTAGGAGGGAAGACTGAAAGAATTGGGCTTGTTTAGGTTAGAAAAGAGAAGACTGAGGGGGGACATGAGAGCGGCTTTCAAGTATCTAAAAGGTCTTTACAAGGAGGAGGGAGAAAAATGGTTCTCCTTGACCTCTGAGGACAGGACAGAAGCAATGGGCTTAAACTGCAGCGAGGGAGGTTTAGGTTGGACATTAGGAAAAACTTCCTGTCAGGGAGGTGAAACACTGGAATAAGTTGCCTAAGGAGGTTGTGGAATCCTCATCTCTGGAGAGATTTAAGAGCAGGTTGGACAGGTTGGTCCTGCTGTGAGGGCAGAGAACTGGACTTGATGACCTCGCGAGGTCCCTTCCATAGTGTCCTATGACTCTACGGTTCAGTGTTAAAACTCTTACGCCTTATTTCCTGGCTGAATTGGTCTAGTTTCCACATCCAGCCATTGGCTCACGCGACGCCTTTCTCTGTTGCTTTCTTCCCCTTGTCGGTTCTTACAGACTGTGATCCAGTCCCCCCGAACCTCCTCTTTGTTAAGCTCCGTAGATCGACCTCCTGAAATGTGTCCACTTCTGCCCATCTCCAGCCTTTAGTCCTGGGTCTACACGCCATGCCCGTTGCTGAAGAAGAGCATCCGCGCCAGACATCTCGGGCTTGCACCCGGCCTGTGGGCAGCAGCCCTGCAGGTTCAGTCTGCTCTCTGGCGAGGGGGCAGACGGGAGTCCCATGCTCCAGCCACGGCATGGATGCGGTGTTCTCTGACCCCCTTACTATCGGGCCTTTTGCTTTGCAGGGCTCGAGGGAGGATGGGAGAGGGGCTGTCTGCTGGGGAGGCAGCTCCAGGGACTCGTCTCCTCTTGCCTCCGCCCCCAAAGGCCATGGTGCACTGTTGTAATCTTAGCCTTGGAGAAAGCTAAATTGCCAGAACCTCCGGCTGGAACGGCCTCCCCTTCCCCCCAGCTGCGCTGGCTGTTATTTAATCTGACACAATCCCTTGGCAAGGAATTGGGAGGAAATATGAAGCAAGTGGCAAGTCAGGGGCCAGTGCCTTTCGGTGAGGGTGTAAAAATAGCCCGCTACTGTCCAGCAATTCCTCACCCCGCCCCCCGCTAATGGCTAGCACCAGAGGTTTGGCATGAACAGCGTGAGCTCCGCCAGCCAGGCCCTGAAACACTGGTTGGCTTGTGTACGGGTTGAACCTCTCCAGTCCGGCTCCCGCGGGACCTGCCTGGGTCTGAGCCAGAGAGGTCGGTATTGACTAGCAGCATGGCCAGCACCGGGCTGTTCGAAGACACGGAGGGTACGTTCGAGCGGAATAACAGCGCCGAACCCTGAGAGCCAGGACTGGGGGCTGCAGACGCGCTCTGTGGGGAGGCAGGACGTTGGCCACCCCCATGGAAAGTGGAGATCTGGCGAACTGACATCACGCTGGACCACGGAAGTTTCTGGACGAGAGAGGTTCGGCCTGTCCTGTCAGCGTACTTGGGATGCACAGTGCAGCTCGCAGACAGGAGCCCTGCCCTGCCCGGTTCACAGACCGACTGGCTGACGACATGTTTTGTTAGTCTGTGAAGTGCTACCAGACCTTGTGTTGGTTTTTAAGTTTATGATGCAAAGGGGTCTGGCCGTCTGGAGGAAAGAGAGGCGTTTTGGAGGGAGCAGGTGGTGAGGAGGGGGAGGCCAGTGCTGAGTTCAGGAGGGGGCGCAGCTGGAGTCGAGGGGGAGCTGAGTGAGGTGCGGGGGCGGTTCGGAGGGTGGTAAGATTGATGGTGCGCAGGGCGGGTGTTTGGTCCTGTCGCCTTCCTTCTGCCTTTCGCTTCAGGGCTCTTCAGCCAGCCGTGGCGGGTTCGTGCTCTGTCTCTCTCGGCCTGGCTTGCGTTGGGTGGTTGACTTTCTATTGGATCGCGAGTCTCCCGTTCAGCCCCCCGCTTGCCTCTGTGCTGCTGACGGCGTCGCGTTACGAAAGGGGAAGCGTGCGGCGCGCCCCGGAGCGTGTGCTGCCACATTCCGCTCCCCCAATTCTTCCAACAAGTAAATCTCCTTTTGGCTTTTGTAACTCTTTCGCCTTCCGGGCGTGAGGGCGCATCTCCCTGACGCGTGTGGGGGGCAGTGGGGCCTTCTCGGCTTCCCATCCGTGGGGCATCAGATAGGAGATAAGCAACCGGCCGGCTTTGAGTGTGCTGCTTTATTACAATGCTTCACCCCTCGGAGAACGTGCGCCATCCTATGCTTTCCCAGCACCTTGTAAACAGCGGCCGTTCGTATTCCCCGTTAGCCGGGGGTCTGTCGCCATTTTACGGAAGCAGTGACTTGTCCCTGGGAAGAGAATCCAGGGGTTCTGGTTTAAAAGTGCATTCCCTCCCTCCTCCGACACTGTGCCTGTGAATTTTGCTTTCTTTGATTTTCCTATGTATGTGCCTAACCGTTTCCCCGGTTCACGTATCAGTCCGCTGCTGTGCGCTGGTGTGAACGGTCCCTGAAATCCAACCCCTGCA